ATTTCCCTCTTCGTGCCTCGGGCCGCCAGCTTGCCCAAGGTCGCCGACTCTTCGCTTGCCAACGTCTGTTATCTGGTACTCATGTGTAGCACCTTTCAACGGTCTTTTGTTTCGCAAATTATCATCTACTCTTGCTCTGCCGGCCGCGTCAATCGTGTCGTTTGGCTTTGGTTCCCCTCCCTGGCCTGACTATAGTTGGTCGTCGCTTTTTGGAAGAATCGCTCACGGCATGATGTCCCAGGTGCAGCCGACGTGGACGGCTCGTCCATTGAACGCCATGGCTCGCGGCTTCGGTAATCCTATCTCTTTACTTTGTATACTTCTCCCCCCATATCCCCCTGCTCTTTTTTTTTTTTGCTTCGAATTGTTTGCTCACTTCTGCATACCCATTCTTACTTCATCTCAAAGCATACCCCATATACTCTTTCCTTGTTCAGTCTGTATGCTCGCAATGCACATAGCCCATTTTTTGGCCAGTGCCACTGTATATATCCATTTGCCATTCCCTTGAAAAGGCTCAAGGAACTCAGCAAACAAACCTGAGGCTTCGTGGCTATCGATTCCAGTTTATAGACACGTAGATCCGTTGTTTGAGGCTATGGAACGCTCCTCGACGCGTAGAAACCATTTTGGGAAGGTCGACGTTGCGTTGCCAAGTTGGGTCGACGTGACCGTGTGACGAATTGCCATCTTGCGGAAACAAAAAGCTATCGTTCTTGAATTTGTACTTTTACCGTCCCCAGTATACCGCCGAACGCGACTCTCTACGCTTCTTACGTTCCCCTGTACTTTGCTCGCTGTCTGACGCGCCCGACGCGTCGATTCTCGATTTATGCCTATTCCAACGTCCCAGCGGCACAGTAGACCTAACAGTCCTCCAACAAATAATGGTACTTCGACCACGACACCCCTTCGTCCCAGACTCTCTGCCGTTTTTAATACCCCGTCGTCTGGAACTGCGTACACCCCAACAGTCACTGCAGCTTCGCAAACTCAGAAATTGAATGGTGACGTCCAATCTACAGGTTTTGAGTTGAATTGAATGGTAACCGTACAATCCACAGTGGTGACCCGCGTGGCAATTGAAGGAAAGGCTAAAAAGGGCGAGGACGGTGCTGGTATTAAGATGTATCTCAAGGTGCGTGGCAGGCGTTCTGTTTCTGGGCTCTTGCTCAATTTCTCGGTGGCAGATCGCCTTACCTTTGGACAGCATTACTCCCGGGTCGACTATTGCGTTGTTTCCAGGTGAGTCCGTGACAAAATATTTTCTCGGTCTGTCTTGACTGGTACGAAGAGGAGAATGTCAAAATTTTGTCTTCACAAGTTCACCCATTGGACAATAATTCTGTTCCCTATGACTTTTCCTCCGACTTGTGTCCTCTTCTCCACTACGCGGCACGGGCGCTCAATCGTGAGTTGTGAACGCAATGACTTCCATTCTGCCCCTCATCTTTGAACAGTTCCCAGTCGCTCATCCGAGTCTTACCATGCCGCTTTCGGGCTCTCACCACCGGCCGTAAACGACTCTGTCGTCGCGTCAGTTCGATCCTCAAAGTCCAATGGATCCTCCGCCAATAGAAGTGCTACGCCCCCTGTAGACTCGAAATACACTGGCCACATCCTCATCAGCAACTACCATATCTCATACATCCTCCCGAAAGTATTCCCTGCGCGATACCAAGACTCTGATACATACTCCTCCCGCTCTTCCTCCAGTCTCCGGCGCTCCTCCGTCATTGAACGCAACACCGTGCAGTTCATGGCTGCCATAGACATGTTTGTCCCGTATGCCTCTCGCCCACCGCGTTCTCCATATTTGGTTCGTCAAGCCCTCTCATCCCACTCCGCGCTTACTGACTCGCGCGAAAGGTCTCCATACCAATTCCGCGATGTCTTCACAATAACATTCGACTACGTATCTTCCCGCCTTCGGCTTCCTCGTCGCTCGCCTCGCTCTCCTCGGCCGACGAAGATGCGGGCTCATGGGACCTCACTTCAGACCCGCACGTTACACGCGCAGCCTCTTCGCGACAGTCTCGCTCTGGCACGTACTCGTATGGAAACATTGCTGATGATGAGTCGAGTGACTCGTCAATGACGGGGTTCTCTGACGGGTGCGGCATCCAAGGATCTTTCCCAAGTGCTGAGCGCATCCGTGTGCGTTGGGCAAAGCCAATCAAGGTCGTGGCCGGTGGAGACGGGCGACGACGCGTTGGTGTGAAGGATGTCAAAGGAGACATGACGTGCGCGGTGCTTGGCAAGATGTGGGATCCAGATCACCAGCGGGAAGGAATTGTGGTGAAAGTTGACTACAAAGGCGTGTGCAAGGGCGTATGGTATTCAGGAGTTGCGACAATGCTTGGCATGGATGTGAGTCTTGAAGCTAAAGGGTCTGATATAACATGGGTGCCCGGGCAACTTCAAGACTGGGAGGTAGGAGGTGGTGCTGGATATATGGGCTTTGACCGAGGAACATCCCCAAAACTCGAAGGCCCATCTCGGCACGATTCGCTGGAATCCAACTATTCTAATGGGGGACCACAATTCTTTCTTTCGGCAGAGCGAAATTTATCACGCCAAAGCTCGGCCTCCTCCACATCCTCTCTGCTCCGAGGACCTCTCCCTGTTCCCAATGTTCCTGAGTACTCTTTTGAGGGCGCAGCTCCGTCCTCATCAGTCTCTGCATCACAAACCACCTCGATGGAATCATCTGTGGGCTCCCTCCTCCCTTCGTCTACGCCCTCGATAGACTCCGCATCACGGCCGCCGGGTTCCGCCATCACTATTCATGTTAACATGAACGAGCTCACCCTCCCCACCTCCAAAAACAGTTTTCCGTTTTGGATATCGGGCACAGTACTCATCACACCACGACCCCGCCTCGCATCTAACACTTCGACGTCCCGCGCTTCCTCCCCGATTCGTGGCGAGTACGACGCTGACAACACTCCGGGTCTGACTGCTTCGATCGACCCCGAATCGATCGTCGTTCCCCGTTTCACCGTGTTGGCGGCAGACAACGAGACCGTCGCTGTCGTCGTGCGAAACGACACCGCTGCAATTGACGCGCTCCCTTGCACCGTAGAGGTGACTCATCCAGGTACCCACAACCGCGACGCTGACAACCCGAGGGCATCCCCGCCAACTAAAACCATCCTACAACGCGGAGAGTATACCAAATGCGTGGAGCGCGCACGAGTTGCTGTCAAACCTTCGGTTGTTTTTACTTCGTCTTCAACCTCGGTCAATGGGGTTGCAGTGCCGGCGAATGGCAAGCTTCCCAGCCGGCCAAGAACGCCTAACAGCGGGGGCAACATCACGAGACCGTGTCCCGTCAACGACGTCTGCGTCTGCACCGATGCGCGCAATGTCGGTCTTGGGAATGATGCCGGTGCGACCTAAGCGGGATGGTGTATTGATGATCCCGAGCGTTGTCGCCACTGTTACGCCGCTCATTGTCATGCCGGACAGTTCAAGGAGTCGATTAACGACATTGCCGGAGGCGTACGCCGTGCGCGTTGTGCTTTCCGCACCGGTGGATGCGGAGTCTGACTGGCTCGAATTCGGGCTGGCCAAGCACGGTGATAGCGGTGCCGGTAAGTCAAGCGCAACAGCTCAGAGCAACGCTGGGCCACCTAAAGTGGATATTGTGAGTGTGAGCGTGGACGATGTTCCCGTGCTGTATGAGACTACGGCTACTGTCAAACGGGAAGAACCTGGTGTTGGTCTGCCGTTTGAGCAGATCAGCGGGCAGGAATGGATGAGTTGGGTGAAGTTGCGGGTTGGATCTGCTGGTGGGGGGCGTGTTGTGGTGGACTATGTCGTGAGGAACGTGGATGACGGACCTGCTGATGATAAGAAGGGCAAAAGGAAGGCAAACGATAAGACACAATTTGATGTGTACTTGCCCTCGTTCTGTATACCGGTCGGGAGGTTGGAAGTTAATATTGATGGAATACCAGGTAAGCTTGCTTCCACTTGTTTGACGAGTCTGCGTTCTCATTGTTCACAGGTCTGGAAATATCATCGTTGCGGTCTACTTTCGCCCATCACCAGTATGTTCAGTCTGGACGACGTTTACTGCAATATTCGATGCATCCCTTTTTCTACCCCGACATTTCTCTGGATATCCGACTGGACCGCCCAAGCCATTCCAGCATATACCCATTCTCGCCGACACCGAATGGCCTTGGTCCTTTAACAGTGCTGCTCATATCCTGGGCAATCCTCATTCTCGGATCCGTCTACCTCGTTCGATTGAACTCGGCCGTGGCTGAACTCTCCAACTCGCTCGCCGGGTATCCTCTAGCTGTCGACGCACCAAGCTGGACAGTACCACCGGAGCCTATCACCTTCACGTCGACCGCTTACCAGACAGGCCGTTGGCAATGGTTTAATGATCCAAAGTCGGACTCATCTGATTTGGAATCATCATCTTGGTCTCCGCAACCAAGTCTGACGAGTAGTGCGAGCGCATCTGAGGTGCTGGAGTCCGCGCCACCGCCGCCGTCCCCTGAGGAGACACCCAAGGTTATTCCGACTGTGCAGTCGGAACCATCGTCCTCGGTGTCCCTCTACAGACCTCCGAGTTTTTACTGGCCGAACCTGCGTTGGCCTGAAATAGACGTTGACCAGGCAATAGATAGAGTTCTTTGGGGCGCGGAGAAGGTCTGGCAGATGTTGAGGAAGATATACCATTACCCTTTGGATCCTACCTGATGTACTGAACGACTCTAACGATATTTGTAACGTTTGATGTATACTTATCCTTTAACTAATGGGGACTTGGAGGCTTGTACATGTAATCTGCTCTAGTCACAGTGAAAAAAGTTTTTGACTTCTTGTTCAGACGCCCATTGACAAAGTCTGAGGGCAACGATCCTTCCATCGACCCAGGTGTCTGTGTATACACGTTGGTCGTGTCGTCGGTGCGTTGATGCAAGGGGAATCGTGCGAAAGTTCGAATAAGGAAAGAATTCAAAAAGCAAAAGTCTAAGACACGACGCCAGCAGGATTTGAACCTGCGCCCGGAAACCGGAACAGATAAGCATGAGATTCGAATCTGTCGCCTTAACCACTCGGCCATAGCGCCTTGACTATTGAGCAAAGTTGAAGGTGTATGAGTCGGAGAGCACGCCGCACGATGAATGAATAAAGTTCTCCGTATTCCCAAATCGGGACGATATTGATGATGGTCACAATATGTGACTTGTCACGTAAAGGGCGCGACTCGATGGAACTGGCGTCGTGGAATGGAATGCGCAACGCAACAGCAGCTTTTCATTAAATGCACTGAACTATAGGTGATATAGAGTCTAGTTGTCCCTTTGAAGCGATCGGGGATTTTCAAATCCAACAATTCAGCATTTTTCTCTTCTCCCCTGCTTGCTTTCCTGTCCTGCTACGCGCGGCGCATATCTTGAAATTAGCGCGAAGGTAGTGTCGAGTTTTGAAGGGTTGAGATCTCGAGAGTCGAGACACCAAAAACTGTCCACGGCGGACAATTCTTGACGCGTTACACGTGAAAATCACGTGATAAAGCGATCGCGCCGTTTACCAGCCTTTACCTTGCCCAAGCGCGGTAAGGTGGGAAATCTTCCTCGTCTTCCTCTGATGCACAACGGTCCTCCACGCATTTGTCGCTCTCTCCATTGCTGAGGGTATCCCGAGCTCGATCTCGGGTGGACAGCGGCGTGTGACCACCGTGACGGCATCACTTTCTATCTGAACGACGGACGCCGTCAACAACCCTCCCGACTCATCGACTCTCATCGACAACCTCAGCTCTACTTTCAGATCTTTCAACCCTACCCTCTTCAAACATTACCGGCCAACTTCACAGAAGATTCAGCACATGCACGGAGAAAGAATATGCATGAAAATGCATTGGTTTTGTCTATCCGGTGCGTAACAACGCGCTCCTTACCATCCAACTTCCCTCATGTTCTGTATCTGAACTACCAGTGATATTATGAATGCACTGACTGCTTTGTGTACCTCGGGACTCTTACCGTTTGCGCTCGAATTTCGGCTTTGTTTCCGCTGTACTCACCTACAGTGCGTCACAACCATCGCGTCCCCCGTCTCTACTCACCCATTCTCAGCTGCGTCGCTCCATCCACCTTCTCTTGCAACAACCTACACTTTTCCTGGGCAGGTTTGACTTCACGTCGCCTCCCATGAGCCAAGGGTTGACTTCATGTCCCCTCTCATGATTCAAGGGTCGACTGCCATTTTCGTATACGTTTCTCTTCGTCACAATCTTCTTCGCCCAGTCACATCCACCGCTTCCCCCTTCATTCTTTTTTGCACCCGCTACGATATAAAAATGGGCATTCTACATATTGTCTCTGGAACATACATACATACTTTGACTTCATTCGACTGCCCCTTGTCCTCCCTGCTCGTCGTGCCCCTTGATGAAACCGAACAGCTGCGCTCCTTTCATCAGCCAGATGCTATATTTGTTGGGATGTGAGTGCAATTTCTCGTACTAGTTTCCCTATGTTGACGGGAGATTCACAGAATAACCCTCTTCTCTGTTGGTTTTGCGACTGGAAGCGACTTTAGTCTGCAAGGTGTGCTTCATGTATCCATACGCAGCCTCTTCTCATCTTCCGTAAAGTATCTCACGCGAGGCTATCTCACTGACGAAATTCTTGCAAAAAAATCGCGGATCTCCTTCAAAACCTTTTTAATATCGGGTCGCCCAAGCAAACCAACCTTCTCGACGACTGGGTGCGAACATATGGAGGGGCTTTTATTCCTTCGCTGCTCTTACTCTCAGTCTGCCCTGGCCCTCTTGTCTCTACAGTAGCACTTGCGCCCAAAACATGTTGTTGTTGCCGTGTCAAATGCTGAAGCAACAAGTCTTGAACAAACAAGAAACTGCACCGCGTAGACAGATGCGTCTCGGACGACGGACCGGCCGACGTTCAAAGTCCGCGACATGAAAGCTGTTCTTGACGCTTTGGGCTTCCGCCACGAATTTATCTGGGGCTTCTTTGGCTGTCAACCCGCTGTCAAACCAGCGAATACGCATTATATTCGGTGCGCAGTGCCTTAGTTTCACGGTAAGTCTCTTTCTTCCAGTCTTCATTGCTCCAAGCTGATAGTTTAAACGTGCAGGATATAATCAACGCGCGGGGTTCCGTAGACTATCGGATGGTCTCAATACGGTCTCCGTGCTCTTTCTCAACTTTAATCACATCACTGTTCGGCTCCTTGCACATTCACAGTGACGATCCTAATTGCGCATACCATTTCAGGATACCAACTACTTGCTATGTCTCTGGCTGCGTCTGGATGTGATTCTTCACATTTAATGTGTTCCGCCAGCTCCAAGATCTCGATGTGAAGGGCAACAGATCTTGTTTACGATGACTGGATTGAATTCGTGGGGACTGGGATGAAGATCGGGCGACCTCTTCGTCTTGCCTCGTATCCTCTTTCCTTTCTCTCATTGCCCAATGTCCTTGAAGCGGACAGTATGTCTTGAACGTTCTCCGTGTCCCATTCCTTGTTTTAATTTTTTGCAGGGCAGTAACGTTTCGACGAGCGGCCCGGTGACTATCTATTCAAGACCTTCCCATTCTCGTTCATCTCATTCTTTTTTCCAGGCCCCGCGTAAGAAGAACGCGCGGGTTTCCGGTCGAGTAGATTCAGACGTCGTCCTTTTCGATGCTCAGGGCGAAGAGTTTGAGGACGACGAGTTCATGGCCGACTTTACCGGTGGGAATGTTGTACGCACATTTCTACGCCATACGACCACCACTCAATTCTGGTCCCAGTCCGCTATCCAGGTTGATGCACCTTCTGGCTCAACGACAATCCCTTCTACGTTGACAGCTAAAGTCAGTCTTTTTTGTTGTCTGCTTTGCTATAATTACTTACTCTTCTCAGTCAGCGTTGAAGAAAGCTCGCACTGGCGCCAAGGTAGCAAAATCAACTCGCTGATCGCTTGCTGCTCATTTCGTTCATAGGAAATAACTGTCTTTGACTCAGGCGGCCGAGACGCCGACGCCGACGAATTTGTGGGTGAAGATGACGCGGAGGTTGACCTGGTTCGTGTTTTACCCTATGTTTCTGCATGACTTAACACTTTCCAGATGCCAGAAGCAGCAGCTGCCCAACTTGAATTCGGGAAGGAGAAAGCTGTAGATGCTCTGGCAGGAACGTGGTTTCGCCAGTTTGAGCACATGTCCTCGTGGGCATACGCATGTCGACAGGATCTTCAAGGATCGTCTTTCCCCGCAACACAGCTGCGCTCGGTGAAGGTCGAACGGAGACCTGCTGGATTGAGATGCGAAGCTCAGGCCGAAGATACATGCCTTGGGCAAAGGAGCGCAGACTGGGAACAGAGGTGGACCAGTGCAGCTAGTAGCGCCGTTGACAATCGTCTCGAGGAAGAGGAGCAGACCAGGAGGAGGTCAAGATGATGCCGAATTCGGTGATCTGGAGCGGCAGAGCGACAAAAGTAGAAAATCAGCGACAAAGTACAGACGCGCAATACACGTAGAGCAGTACAATTCCTCAAGCCATTCAGATACGCGGCGATAAAACAGTGTTGACGACGGGGAGGAGGTGGCGGTGAAGCGAGGTATGCTGACGACGAATGAGGCTGCAACGAAGAGAGGCGCAGAAGTCTCGAGAACAGTGAGGCCCTTGCAACAATGAAGTGCATGAGGTGAAGGATGGAGCGAGCTGAGTCCGGAACGCGTGCACAAGAGCTTTCAAGTCGAAGGTTAAGGCGAGGGCAACACCCATGAATTTTACGCGAAGAGCAAGGCGCGACGCGTAAGTCGGGGGTGCTGAAGACGAATGGGAAGCTTCAAAGTTCACATACAGAACACTTGGCGTAGATTGAACAAAATCGCACGTCTAACCAGATCTACATAACCATCTACTGTGTCTTCAATTTCTCGCCTGAAAACTCATTGAGACATAATGTAACAGCGCAAAGAAACCACATACCCTGCTTCTTCATCGTGCCTTTCCATACCTCCGGTGCAAAGTTCTTCACCGTACGCGTAACAAAAAGAGAGGTCAGGATCACAACGCACACCGCACGCGCCGTATGAGGGTCGAGAGCCTCGACAACGCCGCTCTTCGTGGCGACTTGGCCACCGAGCATCCCCGAGAGAACGGTATGCAAGTCGGCCCAGAACGGTTGGGCGTGCGTGAGGAGGGCATAGATACCCGTGACGAGCGGCGCACACCAGAGGTCGGTCGCGGTCCACCCGTAGGGCTCGAGCTCGGGCGGGTGCTGGAACGCGATGGGTGTGGGGTGGAGGAAGGAGAAGAGGTTGGTGAGGAAGAAGCCGCCGTTAGCCGTTACCTAGAGGTTTCAAGATTGAACGGCTGCGAGAATAATGGCGAATAGAAAGAGACGCACGAAGGAGGTGACGAGAAGCGTCCACGGAGAGGCAGCAAGAGCGGGCATGGCGTTTGCGGTAACCGCGGGAGGGATTAGGTTGCACAAAAGCATAGCACGGGTGAATCCGTCGACAAAGGATAACGGGAGTTCGGTGTGTATTGACATTTGTGGTACGGATGGGAGCATTTCTACAATTGCTTGGACAGCGGTATAGAAGACTGGGACAACACCAGAGACCTTGATTTATCATCCACGTCAAGACGTGGAAACGTGCCATGGAACAGACTACACACCATGAAGGAAGGGGGGATACAGAGAAAGGGCGCTGGGACGCGATAAGCTTGGGATTCAAGTTGTGTGGGTCACTACTGTACACTTACCAGTCATAACCTACCACCATGGTGTCAGAAAATGAAATTCGACGTGCAGTTCCAATACGCTGCTTACCTCGCCACCATACACCACCGTCAAAACTGTCGACGCATCCCGAGCAAAGGCCTTTCGCGCCAACCCGCTCGTGTTAGCACCGTGCTTCTTTACATGTTCGCGATACAAAGCCTCCTTGATTTGCCTAAGCACAATACAGAGTCGGAAAGCGGCTACAACATCTAGCGTGCTCAAAGAGAGGTTAAACCAGGTGAAGGGCGGGATAGGTTCAAGCGAATAGTTGAATATTTGGATTATTGGCGTCAGTAGGAGAGACATGTAGGGCTTAG